ATACATACATACATACATATTCTCCCACTGTCAATTTGATAAGATCTAGAATAGCCTGGGTACAGCTGTGGGGATTACTTCAATTATGTCAGTTGAGGTCAGAAGACTTGCCCATTGTGGGTGGCGCCATTCTGGACTTTATGAAAAGGAGAACATAAGCCGAACACAGTTATTCATTTCGCCCTGCTTCTTGACTGTGCATTTAATATGACTGTGACTTCCCAGTCATGATGAACTACAACTCCAAACTGAGCCAAAGTAAACTCTTCTTTGTTGTTTGTTTGTTTGGTTTGGTGTTTTGTTTTGTTTTTTGTTTGTTTGTTTTTGAGACAGGCTTTCTTTTCTTTTAAGATTTGTTTATTTATTATGTATTCAATATTCTGCCTATGTGTAAGCCTGCAGGCCAGAAAAGGGCACCAGATGTCATTATAAGTGGTTGTGAGCCACCATGTGGTTGCTGGGAATTGAACTCAGGACCTCTGGAAAAGCAACCAGTGCTCTTAACCTCTGAGACATTTTTCCAGCTCATAAACTCGTCTTTAAGTTGCTTTTGTTAGGGTATTTTGTCACCCCAATAGGAAAAGTAACTAAGACAGTGAGTTTTCCATTGCTGCAACCAACACTTGAGATAATCAGCATTATTTATTTGTCTGTTGGGACTTGGTGTCACTATGTAGCTTTGGCTGTCTTTGAATTCACTATGGAGACCAGACCAGCCTTGAACTCACAAAGATCTGCCTGCCTCTGCCTTCTGAGTACTGGGATCAAAGACATGCGCCACCATGCCCGGCTGATATTCAACTTTTAAAAAATAAAGAGGGGCTGGCAAGATGGCTTAGTGGGTAAATCCCTGGAACCCACTGGTGGAAGGAGAGAACCAACTCCTGAAAGTTGTCCTCTGACCTCCACATCTGTTTGGCTCCTGTTCATGCACACATTAAATAAATAAATCACGTATTCATAAATGTAACAGAAATTTTAAAGTAAAAAGGTTTATTTAAGCTCACGGTTATGTAGGTGTCCATGACTTCCTGGCTTAGTTGCTTTTGGGCTTGTGGCAATAGGTAGCACAGCAGGGCAGACAGAGGGCAAAGCTATTTGCTGCTTGGCCCAGACAAGAAAAACAGGGGAAGAGAAAAAGATTCAGGTTCCACAATCCCCTTCCAGAGCACCCCTGCAGTGATCCAACACCTCCTGCCTCCCAATAGCGCCAACTTGGGGCCCAAGTCCCCTTGGGCAACACTCTAGATCCAGACTCTAGCAGTTTCTGAGGCTGCTTTGGAATCACATGCAGAAAAGAAATGACATGTCTAAGTCTGGCAAATAATGTGTAGAAATAGTTGAGTCCCTGCCATTCTGTTACTTCGTGACCTGTCTTCTGGAAGCCACCCGCCCACTTCCATAGGGTTATCATGTGGGTCATGTTAACCAATGGATTCCCTTCTCTGAGCAGTCCAAAATTAAGCAAATAAGAGTACTTTCTGAGGAATTTCAAATCAAATCCAAAAAGCAACAGTGGTGACTGCAGCAGCCACTCCACCAGTCTCTCCTTGACTATCTAGACAATACAATTTTAATATCTGGAATTGTTTGAAGTCTTGTTTTTACCATGTGGACTGGGTGAACATTAGAGACCATATGGGAGTGGGGTGACCAGGGCACGAAACAGGCCTGTTGGGACTATTTAAGCCAGTTCTGACTCCTTACATGAGCTCATATAGTCTTTTCTGACTTAACTCTCTTTCACCCTGTTGCAAAAACTCACTGGACATCTTTGTTGAACCTTGGAGCTGTTTATCCATGCCTGCTGAACAGCTCCACTAAAGCATCTATTGACACCTCAAATTTGACGTCTCCAAATATTATTGCCCAAGTCCTTTGCTGAAACTTACATTTAAATTATATTTATTTGTTGGGGGTGGGGCACACTTGTGCTACAGTGAGTAGCATGGAAGTCAGCGGGCAACTTGGGGTCAGTTCTCAACTTCTACCACATTGACCCCAGGGATTGAACTCAGGTCAGGCTTGGTGGCATCTCATCAGCCCCTCTTATGCGCTCTTTGTCACTGGGCACTGCATCACAGTATTGCAGCTACTAAGCAGCTACCCCAGAATGTCCTCTTCTAACTTCTCCAATTTTCTGAGCTCTGCCTACTGATGTACCCAGATACTCCCAATGCCCTCCCACTCTGTTTGCCAGGGGCATTTTTAGCTCAATACCCCTATCTTTCACCCTCGAATGCTTTCAAAACTCCTTTCCACCCAACAGACCAAAAAAAAAAAAAATCCTTCTAATTTCTGGATATGGTCACATCACTCCGCAGCTAAAAATTCTTCAGTGACTCCCCACTGTTTCCAGGATAAAATCTGAACCCCTGTGGCTAGGTCACAAATTCACTCACATTACACTCAGATGTGCGACCATATGTCTTCTCTCATTCCCTTAACTGATCTGATCTTTCTCACAATACCCCCACCCTGCTGGGTAACAGGGGGGAAACTAAAATTAATCCATTCTGACAAACTCCACGGGGTCTATAGTTTATTTTAGACAGCCTCTAACACAGTAGCTTTAGATGATTCAGCCGTTCAGATTACTTTATACTTTCCCTTCTCTTTTTCAAATAGTATTCAGGTTTCCAGCTGTCTTCTTGGAAGGAGGGGCCCTGCCCCTTAGCCACCTGGTCCTGGGGGTTATGTTGGTTGGCATTTGCTGATGCGGTTGGTATGGTATAAATGAATTAGTGAGAAACCTGAGAAGTAGCTATTACTATAATCAGCTTGTAGAGAAGAAAGCCCTAGTTAGAAGAGTCAAGAAATTTGCCCAACCTCACAAAGTTAGAAAGTGAAACCAGGAACCAACACCACTGTGATTTCAGTAGACATTTTGCTGTGAGTGCAGTATTCCAGAGTGGAAGTCACCATGCTAGAACTGATTGTCCATGGACAATATTTAAGTGAGACAAGAGGGACCAGATAAGAACACCTAAGAATCCCTTGAGGGCTAGGAATGTAGCTCAGTGAAAGAGCATGGCTGCCTGGCATGTGCGAGCCCGAAGCCCTAGGCTGGAGCATCACTGTCGAGTGAAGGTCCAGGAAAGGAAGGCCCTCTTGACTGCTCCTGTCCGAGTTGCTTTGGTCTCAGGAGAGCTATCAGAATGGAGAGTCAGCTCATCCATCGAGCTTGGATCTAGTCCAGCTAGAGCTGAGCCATTCTTCAGGTGTCTCAGGCTCCCTCCAGCAATCAAAGTACAAGCCTGTGACCAACACTGGGTAAGAAATCAGTAGAAGGCAACCAAGGTCTTGTGTTGCCAAAGAGCATACTGTTCTTAGGACCAGGGGCAATCTATAGGCTCTGTGGAGTGGGAATGCGGAGCGGGAATGGGACGTGTAGGAAGATAGGAGGTGAGGAGGGTCAGGTGTGGAGACACACGGCCTTTTTCCAGATAATAGGGACAGACTTCTCCCAGATATGGAGGGGTGGATGCCTCACATGCAGGGGTGCATTCCAGGTGTGGAAGGTGCAAGAAGCTGCAAAAAAGATGAAATCCCTGGCCCTCCTCCTTTTTAAGGGATGAA